TTTTTTGTTGGTTTCGCTTGTGAAACCCTAAGATCTGAATATTTGCTTTGCTTTACATTAGTTCGGAGCGCAACCAACGCTACGGGCTGATGAAGCCACTGAAGCAGCGCCCAGAGCGCGAAGTTAAGCTGTTCGTTCTCTTTCTGTGCCTATGCGGTCGGGCTAAACTAGACCCACTAAATAAGCTACGCTTCATACAGATATGGATGCTTAAAATGATGGTTGTCAGTTATCTGAAGCTTTATCTGAAATCACAGGAAACGCTTTTCCGTCCTCCACAAATGTTTAAACAGTTGGCGACAAAGCAAAGCAATATTACGTGAGCTTCCTGACACCGAAACTATTGCTGAGGAAGTCGCACTTTTGAATCATTACGACCGGCAGTTGCATTTGATTTGTTACTAACCACCAACATGGCGGCGCCCAAAACAATATCGGGGGAAAAATTGCCGATACTCTAAGTGTAGCTCATTTGGTCTAGCTCACAGGATAAATCAAGTGCGGTGGGGGATCGTTGGCCGAGTGTGTTGTAACACCGCAGATCAGAGCTCGAGTGCGAGCTCCGTTCAAAGCACGGAGCTCCCGCTGCAGAGCTTGCAGGGACTAAATCTCCTCGATGTATTTGGATTGGTCTTTCAAATAACCTCAAAGGTGCCACTGCATGAGGCCCGTGTCTCGACCGGCCCTTGGACACAAATGGCGACGCAGCAGTAATACATTCGAGGTGCCCGTGTGGCACGCGTGCCACACGGGCAACTCGAATGTCATTTACAACGAATGACATTCATGTGATCAACGAATCGGCTCGCAATCTGTCGCGCGTAGAACGCCCCACGCTCGGAGTGTCGCGCGCTGATTGTCCGATCCTTCAAATGTCATCCGTTGTAAATGGAATTCAAGTTGCCCGTGTGGCACGGGCACCGTGGGCACGGGTATAAAATAGGGAGTTTTAGAATAGCGCACGCTAAAGCTTTGCGTACGCAAAGAATAGCGTCGTCGCCACTGCGCATGCTCCGAACGCAAACCAGGTTCTGCGCTTTGCGTGCGCAATTTTAGCGAGCGCTATTTCTCGGAAATAGCGTGCGTACGCCAAGAGTCTTTGCGCTTCTCCAAGTAGGATTCGTAATGAGAAGTTGGCTAATGCCAAGACGAGCAGAGTGAAAAGATGGCGGCTTCCGGGGTTCTTTCGGCGGCTGCTTCGGCGACGTCGTGAGTGCGACGTCGGCGCGATCCTCGCGACTGCGATTTGCAATACGGGACGACATTGTACTCGGTTTGGCAACGATCACCGGCAACTTGATGCTTGCGACGCGCGAACATTTCTCGGCGAAGGTAGGATGTGCGAAGGTCAGTACACGAGACCTCTCTTGCCGAGGCGACGCGAGCGGACACGACCGGTCAACCGCTCGCGTCGCATTTTCACGTTTAAACAAATCTAAAATAATACTCTGGACCAAAAAACTTGTTTGTTCTCAAGTTACAGCATTTCGTGTGTGAAATAAAAATTGTGACTGTATCTTGGTAGCGTCGCAAGCGCGAGATGGTTGGGCTTTTGCGTCGCGACGGAGAAACGCTATTCTAAAACTCTCTCGCGTCGCGTGCGCTAATACAAGCGCTAAATTTAGCGCTAGCGTGCGCTAAAAGTGCGTACGTTATTCTAAAACTCCCTAATGACTGGCCCTTGAAAGCGAATGGCGGCGGAGTGCCCGCTCGTGGCACGTGTCTTGCGCGTTTTCACAATAGTGGCTGGCGGTACTTGTAAAAAACGCCTTTATTAAGGGGCTTTAGCAGGGACCCTGGGTTCAGTCGCCCATCTGCATCCTACCGTAATGCGATCGTGTATCACATATACTGCGTAATGCACGTTAAAGACCCCGAGCTAACAGTTGCACTGCACTTCTTATAACCTTCATCGGGTAACAATGTCGTCCTACGAAATTGCTGCTCTCTAAAAAACTAACGACTAATTTTGAATGCGCCGTTACATCGCATTTTTAATGTGTGTTCGCGTTCTTTTTTATTTTTATTTTTGTGTCTACATCTTTGACTATGTGGCTCTTACTTATAATGAAGCAGACTATAGTTGTCAGACTTCTGGAAAAATATTATATAACTAAGAAAATGGCACGTGAACCTAAAAGTAAAAAAAAAAAAAAAAAAAATAAAAGAAAAACGCATAGGCGCACTTAATAAAAATAATTGAAATAATAGAAATGATTACAATTGTGTTTTCAAAGGTTTGAGCCCCCCAAACGATATATAAAAGCGAGTTCGGTGCTTTGGATGGCGCGCTTGTTCGAGTGGGGGATCGTTGAGCGCACCAAACGCTATAAAAGCGAGCTAGATGCTTTGGATGGTGCACTTGTTCACTGGAAGTGTAGTTCAGGACAGTATGCTCGCACTTGTATGTTCCGCTTCGCTTGCAGGATAAAACCAAATACTTTATTGGTAATGTATTTAGCGAAACAAAGCTCACCTTCTGTATATGTGCAATGCCCTCAGTTTTCGCGTGATTACACGCTTGTTTATCATCATTGTTTTCGTACCCCACAGCGATTCAGTTCGTGCTCTTTTGTGTGCTACATGAATTATTAGAGACCAAGGTAACCCAAGAACATTCTTTTTCGCGGATTCTAAAAAAAAAAAAAAACCTATGCAACTTGTTACGTGTGCCAACCCCAATAGAAAATATTCTAAGCTTCACATATGACCGCTTGCCTGACTAAACATTGTTGTTTGTCAAGAACAATTGCGATCGTATGAAATGACGTGGGAAAAACTTGTTCTAAGCACGCGACCGTTGGCATGCAGTGAATACTCATAATCGGCGCCGAGATGATTGGTAGCTGTCAGCAGGTGGAGTTTTTCTACTAACCCAGAGTTAGAATGTTTCCTTCTTTCTGTTGTAAGCAATCAGGAGACAACTTACACCAAATCTGAGGGTAATAAATTACTATGCGCATTCAAACACAATGGCCTGAGCAGTATATGTGTACAAGCTTTAGCTTTTGATGCACCCTTAACTTTTGACACGCTCAACGCTAGTGTAAAACGTAGGGTTGTTTTATTCTTAATCAGCGTACCATGTGCGTGCTCACACTATATTTTATACAACGTGAAAGCCTACCCGTTTGCATTGTTTTCATTTTTGCACACCACTACTTGCGCGCATGAATCACCAACTGGCAAAGGATGTCACAAAACCAATTTACAGGGTTGTTTTTTTTTACCGCAAAAATAAACTACGCATTGCCTAACGCTCATTCTCCGCCCAAAGGTAGCGCTTGGTCACAACCAGATGCCAAAGTTTCATCCCGAACGGACACCTTATTCAAAAGTTATAAGTGATTTTCTGAAAATTCAAATGAGAAAAATGGAGCCCATTTTTGGGCCTGTTTTTCGTTTCTGGTGCCATAGAGCCCCATGTATTCGAAAACTGTGTCGGCCGCTATTTTCCCGTTGAACTTTTCAGAAAATCACTTATAATTTTTTGAAGAAGGTATCGTATTGGGCTGAAACTTTGACATCTGGTTGTACCTCTAGCGCTACCTATGGGCGTAGAATGAGCGTTCGGCGATGCATAGTTTATTCTTGCGGTAAAAAAAAAAAAAACTGTATTTTTTTCATTTTGTGACACCCTGCAAGTTGTTTAAACTATGTGCAAAAGCTATCAACAGACCCAGAATCTTTGCATGGTCAGTCATTGCATTTATCACCGAATCGTATTAAAATTAATAATTATTTTTTATTGCTGTGAGTTTATTTTTAACCTCTGTATTTTTTATTATGACCCCCGCACCAGTCCTACTTTGGGTTTACCAAACTCAACATCTAAACCTGAGTGTCATTTTTTGTGTTTTCCAGTCTCGTGGTTTGGGTCAAAATAAACACCCAGTCACCTAAATGAGACACCTGACCGCCCAGAAAATAGTCTTTTCTTTTAGGTAGTTAATTCCTCAAGCTAGAATGTTTGAAACCAGACTATGACGTCATCACGTTTTGCTGGAAATCCACAAAGATCCAAACACATGCACGATAAAAGGGCCGGCCCGTCATATTGCCGCCCGCAGAGCCGATTAAGCAACGCTCGGTCACGGTCTTCTGGAAGATTCGCGTTCATTCTTGCACCAGACGGAACTTTCGCCCTGTTTTCTTGTACTCGAAAGTGCCAGTTCATCCTCGCCCGGAACGCGCGACGCTCGAAACCTCTTTGCCGAACTTTCGAGATGGTGACGTGACGCACTCTAGATAAGCAGCTGCCAGCGACCTTGTCGAGTCAGACTCTCTCTCTCGCTCTTTGTTACGCTGCCGAATCGCCGCCTGCTTTTCTGCTGCCTCGACACTCTTTGTTTACTTTTTTTTTTGTTTGGAACAAGTTCGCCGATTAAACCTTTATTTTTCAGTTCACTCTTCGTTCTCTCGTCACCTTCATTCGTATCAGTGTAAATCTGATCACATTGTAATATGGGCCATTGGCCTCTGAAATCTCCGATAACGGCGCACAAGCAATTTTATATTTTTCAACGCGTCGGTAGTTTTGTTGTGCATGTGTCTCGCCATTTGGCTTAGGACGATTTTCGTGTTTTGTTCTGCCTACATTTGCTGGAGCCGTGAGCTCGGAGCGTGGCAACTCCTTGCACGAGAAGTGGCGGAGCCGTGCGCGTTCCAAAGAAAGCTCGTGCAGAGAAAACCAAGCAAGGGACCAGGGATGTCAAATTATGGATATAGAAGAATATCCAACTGTATCGAAGCGCCACCACACACGATTTCTCGCATTGATGTACAGGCCTGGAAGGCGATCCCATCGCCATCTGTTGGTTCAGAATCACACTATCCAGGGGTGGGGTTGCACCTTAATGAACGGGCGCTAAAATGTACTTCCTGGTGAAGAATGTCGTTGAAGGAGAGGTTGAATATATCTCGTTGGAACCTTGCCAAATGAGTCTATCTAGAAATGCTGCATGTAACAGTCATATATTAAAGACTGATGAGTTGCCTACCTGGGTCTGGAATACGTTTCTACCACATTGATCCCGCATTTGGCGTATTAGATTTTCTTTACACCGTGGTGGCAAGGACTTTATCTCTCCAACGATATCCGGGTTGGATTCGGATTGTACATCTGGAACGAATACGTTGTAAGGTTTATTTAGAGGCAACACTTTAACTTCAAAAATTCAGTCAATTTATTTCATTTAGTTGGTTTTCTCTCACCACAACGCATTCTGGCAGGGTGTCTACCATTTACATATCTGCCCTTTCGATGCAACAATTTATGCCAATGCCCAAAGGATTTAAATATGCACGACTACAATTTAAAAATGGAGGTGCGTAGATTTAGGTAAAATATATTTTATTTGACCAACATTTGAAGGTGGGGTCATTTTCCGTATGAACGCTGAACACATTATAGATATTATAAAACAATATTTAGTCACGTTTCATAATTAGTCCTAAAATGAAAAAAAAAAAACGCTACATATAAAACAACGCACCTCGCCACTACTGATGAAAACCATTTGAAATTTGAACGGTTTACCAACTGCACTCTAAAAAAAGTCCGTGCGTCTTCTTTCCCGCAGAACACGCGGACCGCCGATCACCGCTGTTTGCGGAATCAGCTCAGCGAATCACAATGCCGAAACATATGTTTAGACCAAAAAGCGAAGTCTGCGATGTAGCATCAAGCAATGCAAGCGTGACGTTTGGCAGTGCTTAATGATACATCGCAGACTTCGCTTTCTGGTCTAAACATATGTTTCGGCATTGTCATTCGTTGAACTGATTCCGCAAATAGCAATTATTAGCTGCCCGGGTGTTCGGGAAAGAAAACGCACGGCTTTTTTTTAGAGTGTGATAAGCGCTAATCTAAGTATAAAAAAAAACTGCATTTATGAGACTCCTATGTTTTGTCCAAGTGAATCAATTTCCTTTGAGGGAATGGCCCAACTTTCAATTCCCGAAAAAAACTTTTCTTGAGGATGTATAATACGCTCAGTCGCGGGAGGCAGGGTTTGAAAACAAATGTGCCTTAAACTTCAAAATTCGGAATATTGCCATGAATATAATGGGTATACGAATGTAGAGCTAACAATGATAGTTCCTACAAGGCGTACTTTTACCTACCAATCAAACAAATAAAGGTTCCGCTGCATCATTTGTCGACCACAAAAGGCGACTGTCTTGACTCTGCGAATGACCTTTGCATTTATCCAGTGTACGTTGACTGCTTTCTTATGCACAGTACGTTCAGGCAAGTTCTAACCCAGAACACACGATGATAGCCGAGAATGGATCGGAACGTTTCAGTATAGGAAAGACTGCTCAAAGAAAGAATCCGTCCGAGGGAGGCTTGAAGTTCGAATCTCGATCGTCCAATTCGCGGTGAGACGCTCGCTAGGGACGCTTTTGGTTTCCTCAATTCGGTTAGTGCACGTGGTACCCACGCTGTTATGTTTTTATTCTCAGAGTGCATGGAAGCTTGGAATTGCACGTGCTTGCACCAGCAGTCGAAGTTGAAGTATCCTCACTCCGGGTTGCCCAAATTTCACAAGGCGGCGACACCTAAACTTCCAGCAAAAAATAGTAATTACAAAAAAAAAAAAAAAAAAAAAAAACTGCAGCCAATAGTTTCCTTGGAATTCAATGCGTCAAGATTGGTACCCGGTATCACCTTCATGAGAAATGTGCACGCAGTGGAGAACATCCTGTTTCCACTTTCTTTAAGCATGGGCTTGACTACTCAGACTTCTTAGAGCGCCCTTACTCTAAGAAAAATAAAGAGGAACAGCCTTCTTTATGGAGACAAACACATTTCAATACGAACACATCGGATTTTGGTAAGAGTAACTGGCAAGAAACATGTTGCTGTGTTCGCCTGGCAGCAGATCTGTTCGCCAAATTGTTCGCAGTCGGGTAACAAAAGCGACGACGTCACTCTGTCAAGAAAACACAGGGACACACGGAAATGTTATTTGTTTACTTCCGTAAGCGTGCGCGCGTCACAGGAGTGTCCTTTTACGAGCTATTTTCGCTTTCGCCAGAGCTTGCTGCGGGATGGCCGTCGTCCATGACAATTTAAGTACTTCACAAAAAGTGCGCTCGTGGGCTATTTCGCCGTCCCATTGAATGGGCGGAGTGTGAACAATAAGTGTTCCAAAGACGAACTTAACTCAGATTGCTGCGTTTCTTCAGCACCCAATATTTTGACGAGCCATGCACAAAAAGAAGCTTTCTAACTCGATATCTAACTCAAATTTCCTACGGCAACATCAGACTAAGCTACCAATAAACCTATTATTCCAAATTCTTTAATGTTTGCCTTTTTTTGCGTGCTTGGTTATTAAAGCGGCCCTGCAATCATATTTAAGCGTCTACCTTTTTTGCGGTTTCCACGTCTCCTGGGGTTCGGGCAAGCCAGCGGGCACGGAGAGAGTTACTAAATATCAGCGCGTCATATTTTAACCGGACGACGCGGAAACGTCCTCCACCGACGGGGGCGACCCGCAGTACCGAAAGCGCGCGTTATGTGACGTCTTTGGTCCTGGGCTTACTACTGGTCAGAGCCGCTAAAAGCTTCTTTTTTTTAGTCGAAATACAAAATATACGTAGCGCCAGCCGTTTCAATTATGTATGAAAGTAGTTTTTGTTCAGTACTTTTTATCAGAAAAGAAACAAATGCATTTTATAAAGTACGGAAACAAGAAGACCCGTCGACATACCCGGCACCAAGCGGTGGAAAGGCGGCGCATACTAGAAACGAGTAGTGGGATCAGGCGCCGACATGGAAAGGTCCCGGATGTACGCGGCGGCGATGTGGTCGTTTTCGTACTAGAGGATCCGACCGGCTCCGAATGTTCCAAAGGCCTTCGACGAGCACCTTTGTCTTGCGGTTTGGCCGTTTTGCGGTATGGCAGCGCGAAGTGGCTCCCATTCTGAAATTATCTTTACCCCGTTTTTGCGGTCGTTTGTGGCCAATGGAGTGTCATGATAAATTAGTGTTTAATCGCGCTGCAAATGCAATGAAAGCCGCTCTGGCTACCCGCTGCATACAGCCTATCAGGAACATGCTTTACTGGCGCCCTCTCGCGCCGTCGACACGGAGTTCAGCAGCCGTGAGCGCTCGCTGAGCTCGCTAGGCCTCCTGTAGTTCACGGCCACTCAAGCAACCAAGGACGTCATGAAGGAGATTATTTTTTGCTTGTTTTTGTAATTTTAATTTGCCTATAACTTTTAAAATAAAGCGAAATTCGAGAAAAGAAATTTTTCATTAAGTTACTACGTTCAGCGCGCTCAGGTTCGGTGCAAATTAAAAAAACAGTAAAAGGTGCTTGCAGGGCCCCTTTAAGAATTGATTATCTTTAGGTGTCGGAACTGATGGCCCATATGATCCCGCTCCTATCACAATAAATGATTTGTCATCACTAGTCCTTCTAATATTATTTTTATTTCATTTTATGTATTTATAACCAGTGACTGGTAATTTAATTTTTTACATTTAGCCATGATGTCGCCCGATGACCACCGAGAGTTCTAATTTTATTACTGGTTCATTCCTTAGCAAAGAAATGTTTAAGTTTCCCAGGCAGCACACCAATGTTGGACCTACATTGGGCCAACAATGGCAAACACTGGCTCCGGAGGTTGGTCCAACATTGGTATTCTGGCCGAGCGCAACTTCTTCCAATGTTGGCCCAGCCATTGGCACCAACGTTGGGCCATCGTTCAACCAATGTTCCAGCCATCATTGGCACCAACGTTGGGCCATCGTTCAACCAACCTTCCAGCCGTCATTGGCGCCAACGTTGGGCCATCGTTCAACCAATGATCCAGCCATCATTGGCACCTTTTTTAGGCCATCGTTAAACCAATATTTCAGCCATCGTTGGCATCCACACTATGTCGACATAGTGTGGATGCCAACGATGGCTGAAATATTGGTTTAACGATGGCCTAAAAAAGGTGCCAATGATGGCTAATGATGTATAAGAAACAGGCCAGGGGTTCTTAAAACTCAATGTTGGAATAACCAGGATTTAAACACATTGCCATCATTGCATGGCCAGCATTAAAGATATGGCATTAACACTGGGACATGCCAATGAATCAGCTTGACTGCAGATAACGGCCTATTCAATGATTGAACTTGTATACCAATGATGGCGTAGCCATTGAATTAGTGTGAATGCCAAAATTGGCATCCAATGATCATTGGCTATGCCAATTTTGGCTTTCACACTAATTCAATGGCATGTCCCAGTGTTAATGCCATATCTTTAATGCTGGCCATGCAATGATGGCAATGTGTTTAAATCCTGGTTATTCCAACATTGGGTTTTAAGAACCCCTGGCCTGTTTCTTATTAGCAGCCCACTGCAAGAAAAACATTCTGGGCACAAATGGCAAGGTCGTCCTATGCTTTGTCTGTGCACTATTTTATCTGGCGAGCAAATGACTATTTCAAGGTCAATTAATACTTTTTTCGGAACTTTTATTGAAAGGGGCTAGGGAGGAAGCTCAGCGGGGAGCCTATGCCTGGTCCTGGGGAAGGTCCTGGGGCGAGTCCTGGGGCTGGGGAGCCATTACGGCTTCCGAACGCCTCTTCCTGCAGCCTCCCCTGTCGCAAGACCCTGGCAGCCACTTCAGCACCATCTTAAGCTGACGACTCTTCAATTGTTAGCTTCGCACTGATGGCAGCTACGAAAAGATCCAAAGGTCAAAGATCAACGCTTTCAAACCCACATTGGTCTTAGTAAAGCAGCACTTCAACAAATGTTAAGGTTTGAGTGTCCCCTAAAAAGTCCCTCGCTCACGACTTTTCAGTCCTTGCGGCGTAGCACCCGTGGTAGCCGATGATCAGGGGTCTACGATGTCAGGGCCGAGGTCCGGACGTAGTGACGAGGCAATTGACCGATGGCCGAAGGCTTGAATCAGGCCCCGTACGCCGGTGGCAGCCTATGACCAGGTGTCCGCCAAGGTCTGGGCCGAAGGACGTAGCGACGAGGCAGTTGGGCGTTGGCCGAAGGCTTGAGTCAGGCTCAGAACGTCTGTGGCACGGAGTGGCAGCGGGAGTTCAACTGCGCCACGCATGCAGTCTTGTCTACCTCCGGAAGGTTGGCGCCCGGACTGCGTGAGAAGTGGGTTGTGGGTCGGGCCTCTTGACGTCTGGTCACGCCGACGGAGGTCCGGCCTGGTCGCGTCTGCACCGTCCTTTGTCAACCGCCCGAGTCCCCTCTCGCGCTCCTCGCATGCCCCCACCTCGTCTTCTTCTTTCTCGTCCTCTTCGGCTGGTCGCGGGATCGCTCATAACACCAGACTAAAGCCTGGTTCAGACAGTTGCGTTTGACTGCGTTTTACTGCGTTGCGGCAGCGAGAAACCAGGACATCCCTGCTGCTTATATCGCGTGCCAAGATGATTCCTTGAATTGGATTCCACGCTTCATACGAAGCACAGATGTGCCGGTGACTCGCTTTCGGTACTCGACGCAACTCAGTCAAACGCACTCAAACGCAAGTGTCTGAACCGGCCTTAAGCCAATCAATTGGCGACGTGCGCGACCGAAAGCGTCGCTGTGGTCGGCCTTTCACGATTGGCCCAAAAACTCACTGACTATGACGTCGGAAAGGGTATACCATCGACGGAAATAAGAAGAATGAAGGAACTTTAATTTCGACGGTGTTGGCAGTGTTCCTTTGAGAACGCAATGATTTCAGGCTTCCACCATGCTATTTACAAACACCATCGAACTTGTTGTTCGCAAGGTAATGACGTGACAAGGGGGAACCATATGAGGGCGCCACCAAAACATCTCGCCGCTAATTACCAACGTTGGTAGGCCACTGGCTAAGACAGGCAATTGGTGGCCAGCTTAAACCAATCGTTTATTTTTAACCTGTCACCGAACACGGTTTTTTTTCTGCGTGGACGTTCAAACTTGCTACAGCTCGCAATGCATACAGCGTTCTAATTCAGTTGCTAACTTGCTCTGCGTGTGAAAACAGAAGAATCGTTTCCCCCGGAGGCATAGCTAGAGATTGTTCTCAGCGTGCGCGATCAGCACATTAAAAGAACTAAGCCAATTATATATAACATTGGTAAGCCACTGGCTAAGACAGGCCAATGTTGCCCAGCCTAAGTCAATCGATTACCAATGTCAGTAATTGATTGGCTTAAGCTGGCCAACATTGGCCTGTCTTAGCCAATCGATTACCAATGATGGCAACTCATTGGCTAAAATACACCAATGCTGGCCAGCATAAGCCAATCGATTACCAATGTTCGTAACCAATTGGCTAAGACAGGCCAATGTTGGCCAACCTAAGCCAACCAATAGCCAACGTTGTTAAGGCGTTGGCTGAGGTTGGCCAATGTTGGCCAGTCTAAACCAATCGATTGCCGACGTTGGTAAGCCATTGGCTGAGGTAGGCCAATGTTGGCCGGCCTAAGCCAATCGATTACCAACGTTGGTGAGCCGTTGGTCAAGTCAGGCCAACGTTGGCCAATATATTCCACTGTACCACCAATATTGGTTCTACGATGGCCACATCGGCCCAATATTGGACCATTGTTTGCCAATTGGATGCCGATGTTGGCCCGACGTCGTGTGCTGTCTGGGTTTGTCTTCCAAAGCTGCCTGTAAAATACCGAATTATTTCAGCTCAACATTAAGCTTGATTACCATTAAATATTGTCGGCCAAGTTTTCATTTAGGCAAATTACTAGGCAAAAAGGAAACCTACAGGCGGGACACACTTCAATCCGAGCCATATATGTAGGCATGTTTCCACTCCAAAATTGGCTCAGCCACCGATTCGGGCAACAGGCGTCGTGCGGCACAGTTTGCTTCTCATTTTAGTCGCCTAAAGCTGTCACGCAAACAAAACATTGTCACTGTCATCAGTATTGTGCTGCTGCTTGCAAAATATAACAAGATTGTGAGGCAACAGAGTGAACTACCATCAAGCTGACCGCTTGTTGGTGAACATGCTGTGCTGATGTGACCGACGGGTTTCCTTAATGTGACCTGCAGCCTCCTTAACTTGACTATAGCGAAGCACGTCCTTTAGCCATTCAATCGAAGCCAAGGCTTAAGGATGTAAATTAGACATTCGGATATTTATGTCCTATAAGTAAAACTAGATGTCTAAAGTTTCTATAAATATATTGATAAAACCGCCATGCGCAGAACTGTATTTTATGAGAAAAGCAGCCGCCCCTCACGTTCAACATCAGGCCTTCCCACCACGTGCCGCCGCGTCTTTACAAAGCGTCGCCTCTGTCCCTTTTTTACGCCTTTTTCCTTGCGACGACACTCTGAAGAATGCACAGGATGCAGTGACGGAGCGTCGTGTGGTGCGACTAATCACGTGTTAACACGCGCAAGCGCTTGGCAGGTTGTTGGCAGAACAGGTGCTTGGCAGATGCCCAACCCTGCTAACCTCCAAATACTGTACAGCGCCCTTACGGGCGTTGTAGGGTATTTTAAATAAATAAAGAAAGAAACATGCGCTACTCCACGCTTCACATATTCACGAGATCTCAGTAAAATTGGTTAGAATGCAATTCTGCTTTAAAAATATAGCAGCTGACCTAAATAATATTGTTTTCTTAGTCACCTGCTATTTATCCTTCCGTGGAAACTAAAATGTAGCTGGACAATCCTGAAACCAACGTAGTGTCGGTACTTATATATACTATATTTTACAAGTAACTAAGATGGCAGAAGTATTTCTGCGCGCAGCTGTAACTGTAACGAGATGCATCTAGAAAGTTGCAGCTGTGTTTGTAGCTCAATTACATTTAAGTTACAGTAAAATGTAGCTGTTACTCAGACATCTTTTAAGAGTAACTGTGACTGCTCTGGAAACCAACATATCTTGAAGTGTCTACAAAGTAATTTAAAACAGTTTCATTTTAACTAAAATCTACAATGACAAAAAACACTGATTAAAAAAATACTAATTTAGTAAACATACTTGCCAAGGGCTATTGCTTGAATGTATAACACGTAATAAATCTTGTTAGTGAGCTTCCCTAGAATGCTCCTTACAGCTCTATGAACTCTAAGAAATTAACAGGCAGGTGCTTTGCAGGACGACTATTTTCCCTGCAAGGCACTCGGGAGACCCAATCCATTCAATATGTAACGGCCTTAGGGAGTAATCTGTTTCCAAGCAACCACCACATGCGTACATCGATACCAAGAGCATAAAGCGCAGCCATAAATGTACAAGAAGTTCTCCTCATGGAACCGAACCAATCGGACCCCGGTCCTTATTGAACGCCACACAATCTACGGAGGAAGGCTCGGTGAATGACAAGGCCAAAGAAAAAATTAGATCCAAAGTACATTCTGCGTTGTCACACTGAGCAGGGTTGAATGTCACGTTCAGTGTTTGTCATTGGATCTTTCAAGTGCTTCGCGGGAAAGTGAACTCTCCAGATTTCTTAGAGCATTGCTCATATCACTAAGTAGTAAAACATTCGTATACAGTAAATGCTTACCACAAGGCAAATGCGTAAAGGCCACCATAACCATGAAGGGGGCAAGTTGCATTTTTACGTTAATACGCGTAAGGCTGTCACGGGAATCGTCACCCTGAAAAAAAAAAAAAAAGATAATTAAATACCCTGATTATAAAATAACCTCAAATATTTCGAGTTTCTTTCCTAAATTGCCAATATTAAGATTATTTTACATGCTTAACAAAATGCCATTTGGATCTCTTTACATTATCTAATCAGTGATTTCTACTAAATATTTGGAAATTTACTCATGCCTTCCAAAGTTGTTTTTACTTCAGAGGATGAGTCTTAAAATCTATATAATATCGTGACGCGTCTCTATAACTTTAATATGTGCATTCTTGACTGAAAGTATCGCTAATAAAATCAGGCTAGATGTGTCATGTAATTCTCGACTTAAGAAGGGTCTAGTAACGGCATTTTTGTAGATTTTCGAAACATTTTTAGAAAATATCTCGTACAACTCGTTGCGTTGCTCAGACACCTCCAAATTTAATTAACTTCACAAGTCAGTGCCAATATGAGAAAAATATAGACTAGTATAAATATATTCGTGCATTAAAAAATATATTGTTCTTAAAACAAATACACGTTTCTCAATCCCGAGGCGACACTGAAATTACGGCATTACGAGAAAGTACCAGAACTTCACAGTTTCGACTTACCGGCGCAAGCTTCAAGTTCGTGTCTCCACGCGTTCATGGATCTCTTTATATGGACATCTTTCGTTTAAGGATTAAGGCGTTGCAACATTTTTTTTTTTTTCTTCGAGGCGACTTTTTGTTTTGGTTTTTCAATGCTAACATGTAGTTTCACGAGAATGTTTCTTATTTTTAAGTAAAGTAACTCTCCCCACAGTGTATAAAACCACAAAGGCAAAATGCTGAGTGATTCTGTTTTTAGTTTCCTTCTTTTCCTTCTTTGTTTAGAGATCACACAACTGTTTTCAATTCTTAGCGAAGCAGTTCTTCTGTTCAAGCGGTTTCCTAGAATTGCTTTTTTTTTTTTTCAAGTTGACGCAATGCGATTGTTGCGTTTTTTAGATTAGTTTTTTTTTCATCCAGGCGAGTTTCGACAAACAACGCCATCTCACTATAGCTGCAGAACAAGAATAAGATGATCCGGGCTCTAAGCCCTGCCTTGCTGGAGCTGTAAGGGACAATATATACCCACAAAACAACCCTCGCTCTAAACTGGAATACATGTGCCTCCACATGTATTCCAGTTTCCTCTATATTCACAAAGCCTGGCAGTTCGATGACGGAGTCATCTGCATCCAGGTGGTCAGGCCCGCACCGCCGCACCTCGCCGCGGGCCGCTTCGGGCCACTGCGCGTGCTGCGCAGACGTGGAAAGGGCTTCTCTAGTGGCGTCCCTTGCAACTACGCCGCACGAGAGCCAATAGGAGCCTCGTTCCTTGATGACGCGCGCCAGCCAATGGGAGCCTATCCATCAGATTTCTGCTACAGACGACAGGCTTCGTTCCACTGGGTGATGATGATTGGGGTTTAATGGCGCAAGAATCGTTCCACTGGGACAGGGGAAGGTGCCGTTTCGCGCGGCTTCAAAGCTGATGACGTCGGTTCGCTCCATGGACACTTAAAGGGGTACGGAAACCAAATTCTGGAGCTCATTTCTTTGTTTCAACACGACGCAGGTAGCAGCACAACCACATAAACATAAATATTGCGCTAGAAAACGCAAGAAAACATATTTTAAAGTGAATTAAACGATAATCAAAAACCACCTGGTAGTTGGTTATGAAGCTTCAATGGAATGTCGTGACGACAACATGCCTCTGAAAGCAGCGCCGCAGCGGTATGTCCGCTCACTGGTATAGATTGCCTAGGCCTGAACGCAATACCGAGGCGTCTTGGTGGAAAGAGCCAAAACGAAGTGAGCCACCTTGGTTTCAGCTCTCGCGCGACGTGCAAACGCGTGCTTCGGTTGTTCTCAGGTTTGGTGCGCGTGCTGGCCCCGCGATATCTACAGCCCTTGGGTACTTCGACAAAGCGAGATTGTAACGCGTTGACGCCTCCAAGTGGCAAAACTCGTCACTACGGTACGCTTGGTCGTCCGAGGCATGATGACGTCAAGACGTCTGCCGGATCTCCCGAGGTGCATCGCGCTCCTCCATGGCTGATTTTGAAGCGCTCGCCAAAATCGCGGCATTTAGAGCATAAAATATAGCCATCTGCTCAAAATACGACCGTGCGATTATTCATTACAGGCTTAGCTGATCATATTGAACTCATTTCTTGATGTTTTCTCTATATTTCAAGTTTCGATTCCGTATCCCTTTAATGCTTTCGCTTTAAGGCCGGTTCACACACGTGAGCACGTGAGCGCTCAGCGCTACGTGAGCACTCGAAGCATCGCTCATGTGGCGCTTCCTAGCGCGTGATATAGCGTTTGGTTAGCGCTTCAGCAGCGCTCTGCTAGCGCCTCAGATGCGCTTCGTTAGCGCTCTGTTAGCGCTTCAGAAGCGCTTTGTTAGCGCTCTCACACTCCTTGTGCCGTGCTTGCTGCTGCGGAATTAGCGGCGAGATGTTTTGGTGGCGCCCTCCTATGGTTCCCCCTTGTGACGTCATTGCCTTGCGAACAACAAGTTCGATGGTGTTTGTAAATAGCATGGTGGAAGCCTGCAATCATTGCGCTCTCAAAGCAACACTGCCAACACCGTCGAAATTAAAGTTCTTTCATTCCTCTTATTTCCGTCGATGGTATACCCTTTCCGACGTCATAGTCAGCTTTTGGGCCAATCGTGGAAGGCCGACCACAGCGACGCTTTCGGTCGCGCACGGGGCTAATAGTGCCTGCACGGCGATTCCTTTGTTGTTGTTTTTCCTTTGGCATTGAAAGAAGAGGAAGTAAAAGAGCCGCTCTCCGAGCAAAGGGTCGACCAGGCGATCCCGAGTCATGGACTCTGAGCGACTAATTGATTGGGTACGACCTCATCGCTTTCTATTCGATAGGCGTGATCCTGCTTCCAAAGACACGCAGTTAGAAAATAATCGCCTTCGAAAGAGCTCTGTGTCTCGGTCCCTCAGCCTGGGGACAAGGTTCGCCGGATACCCGTCGGTTCCTCGGTGGCGAAAGATTTCGCGCACCCAGAAGGCTCTTCTGGGCAGTAGGTCGTCCACACATATATGCAGAAATTGCGTTTGTAAGAGCATTTGTCCTGTTTTTATTTCAGCGTCCCACACGTTCGCCATGGTACTGTTGATCCACAGCCAACCACAGGAACCGGAACCGCAGTGCACGCGCTAATCCGCAGCACCGGAATACAAGAAGCGCTACTGGAGCGCTAACACGGCGCTACTGAAGCGCTAACAAGGCGCTACTGGAGCGCTAACAAGGCGCTACTAAAGCGCTAATCAGGCTCTATATTGGAACGAAGTCACGCGCTGGGAAGCGCCCCATGAGCGCTCCTTCGACCGCTCACGTAGCGCTAATTTAGCGCTCCGCTGTATGTGTGAACAGGCCTTTAAAACTAAAGTTTAGTTATGGCGGCGCCCACGCATAGCTGCTCCGAAGCGTCTATAGCGAGCGCGTATACGGGATGGCTCCCCTTGCATAGGGCGCAAACAATATGCAGGTCAGGCAAATGTCTTTTTTCATCAAACCGCAAGCTTTCTTACTTCATATCATATCAAGAATGCGACTAAATGACCTATTACAAATGATTGATTTTTATATATCTCCAAAACCCCGGCATCGGACGTTTTTATTTATGAGCTTTTTTTTTTTTTTTATGGCGAACGCTTTGAAACGATATTGAGCAAAATTTGAAGTAAATTTGCGCATAAAAGTGCGATTACGCGGCACGCGCCGCTGAAACGTATGCAGAAGAACGACGCTGTCCTTGACGTCGTCCTTGCGGTCGTCCTAGATGTCGTCCAAGATCTCTAGGACAACCTCACTTGTCGCAGTACGTAAAAAACAAGTGTCGTCGGCGTCGTCGGCGTTGTTCTCGAAAGATGGCCAGGCGTCATCAAGCGTCATCAGCGTGATCTCATCAAGCGTCATCATATGTAATCAGCGTGATGCCACCTCCGGAGCGCAAGTGTGCAAAAGATGCGCTTCGGACTTCACCTGCTCTCGTTGTGTGCTTCGTACGAGGGACTGTGCGGCGCCTACATCTACTGCAAAGTCGCCACAGCCTCCTTAAGCGTCTTCCTCTAGGCATCGTTCTCGATGTCGCTTTAGACGTTTTTCTCTAGGCACTGTTCTTAACGTCGTCTTACACGTCGTCCTTAAGGTCGTCCTAGACGTCGTTCTTGACGTTGTCCTAGAGGGCGTCCTAGAAGTCCTATATGCCGTTCTTCACGTCGTCCCAGAGGTCGTCCTAGACGTCGTCCTCTTGGAATGGTTCGCCACGTCATCCTTGAGGTCGTCTTAGACGTCGTCCTAAAAGTCGTCCTAGACGTCGTTCTAGAAGTCCTTGACTGACTTTCGTCTTCCTACACGTAAGCAGTCTTGAATGCACTCGTGTAATTTTCTTTCTTTTTTTTTTTTTTGGTTGGGGGGGGGGGGGGGGGCGTGGGGGAGGTGGGGGGGAAGTTACAAGTGAAAGCTAAAAAATATTTTAACACACAATTATTGCAGGAATATTATGAGGGTTCAATCCCAAAATGTAATCCCGCCAAACTTTTGTTTCCATGGACAACTTAACTCGGGTATTGGCTGCCCGAGCCACGTTTTCTCGAAAACGAAATACAGAGAAGTAAAAGATTTTACATTCCTCTTTCCCCTCCCTCTCTGCGCTGCTTTCAGCTGCGTTTTCAGTCGTTTTTCTATCAACTCGTGGGGAATCTTTTTTTTTAGTTGCCAAGTTCAGACCATTTGCCTCGGAGATCCGTATACGTTGTTTCCAGATTAACGGTCTCGACAATCTCGGAGCGTTGCTACCCTGTCTGTCTATTCTTCTGCCCAGGTTTAGAAGGCAATGTACCGTTTGATGACAGCTGCTGGTTCTTGAACCAGGTTCGTAGCCTTCCTTGGGGCGACTGGTGTCATCTCCGATACCCGG